TGTTATCTCTAAAAGTTTCTTTGTACCCTTTTAATAATTCCTCCTCCCCCAGTTTGTTCCCAAACAAACACTTATCTGCTGTCTATTATTATATATTAGTTTGCCTTTTCTGGAATTTAGCAAAATGGAATCACAAAGTATGTGATTTTGTTTTTTAGTCTGGGTTCTTTCAGCTTAGTTATTTTGAGATCCATCCTATTTTAATCCCCATATCATAAAACTCAGTCTTTTAAGGTCATTTTTAGTATATTCACACAGTTGTGCAACCATCACTACTGTCTAGTTGCAGAACATTTTCATCACCTCAAAAAGAATTCCTGTACCAATTAGCAGTCACTGCTCACTTGCCTTACCCTACAGTCCCTGGAAACCGCTAATCTACTTTCTGTCTAGATTATTTATTTTATAGGTTTTTTAAATGTTTATTTTATTATGGTAAGAAAACTTAATGTAAGATGTACTCTCAACAGATTTTTAACTGTAGTTTGCAATATTGTTCACTAGGAATGTCATACAGCGCATCGCTAGAACTCACTCATCTTGCATTACTGAGGCTTTAAGCTTGTTGATTAGCAACTTCCCATCTCCCCCTCCCCTTGCCTTTGGCAACCATTGTTCTGCACTTTGCTTCTGTGGGTTTCAGTATTACAGATACCTCATATAATTGGAATGATGCAGTATTTGTCCTGTGACTGACTTACTTCATTTAGCATGTCTTTAAGGTTCATCTGTGTTGTTGCATAATGCAGGGTTTCCTTTTTTTAATCACTGAATATTCTTCTGTTGTGTATATATATGCATATATAACCACACTTTCTTTGACCATCCATCCATCAGTGAACATTTAGGTTGTTATCACATTTTGACTACTGTGAATAGTGCTACATTGAACACTAGATTGCTAATATCTCTTTGAGATACTGATTTCAATTATTTTGGACAAGTGCCCAGAAGTAGGGTTGCTGGATTCGTATGGTAGTTCTATTTTTAATGGTTTGAGGAACCTCTACTTTTTTTTAAAGTTTTGAAGAACCTCAAAAAAACCTCCTGTTTTTCATAGTGCCTTTACCATTTACATTCTCATTAACAGTATACAAAGGTTCCAGTTTTCTGTATTTTTGCCAAGATTTATTATCTTTGTTTTTTTTGATTTGCCATTTCCCTGATGATTAGTGACATTGAATATTTTGTATATACCTGTTGACCATTTGTATGCCTTTGGAGAAATGTCTGTTTAAATCTTTAGCTCATCTCTTAACATTGGGTTTTATTTGTCTTATAATTACTGATTTGTAAGCATTTTTTCATGTATTCTAGATACAAGTCCCTTATCAGATATGTATATACTTTGATAATATTTTCTCTCATTTTATGGGTTGCCTTTTCACTTTCTTCTTCTTCTTCTTCTTCTTTTTTTTTTTTACTTTCTTGATGATGTCCTTTGAAGCACAGAAGTTTTTAATTTTGATGAAATCCAATTTATCTTTTTGTGTGTCACTTTTGCTTTTGGTGTTGTAGCTAAAGAAGCTTTTCCTAACCCAAGGTGATAAATATTTACTGCTATGTTTTCTCCTGAGACTAGTTTTAGCTCTTACTTTGATGTTTATGATCCATTTGCAGTTAATTTTTGTATATGGTGTGAGGAAAGGGGGTCCAACATCATTCTTTTACATATGTGGCTATCCACTTGGCTCAGCACCATTCATTTTAAAACGTTATTCTGTTCTCATAGAGTTACCTTGGGGCCCTTGTCAAAAGTCAGTTCACCATGAGTATGAGGTTTTATTTCTGGGACCTCTGTTCCATTGATCTCTATTTTCTTGCCAATACCACACAGTCTTGATTACTGTACCTTTGTAAGTTTTAAAACGGCAAGTGTGAGTCCTCCAACTTTGTTGTTCTTTGTTAAGATTGTTTTGGCTGTTTGCTTTTTTTTTTTCCATTTCTCTGTGAATTTTAGGATTACCTTCTCAATTGCTGCAAGAAATACAGCTGGGATTTTGAGCCTGTAGGTCTGTTTGGGGAGTATTGACATCTTAACAATGTTAAGTCTTCTGTACTGTGAACATGGAATGTCTTTCCATTTATTTAGGTGTTCTTTAATTTCTTTTAAATATTTGTATACAAATTTCAGTACACAAGTCTTGTACTTCTTTTGTTAAATTTATTCTTAAGAACTTTATTATTTGTTGATGCTATTGTAAGTAGAATTGTTTTCTTAATTTCATTTTCAGAGTGTTCATTGCTGTTGTATAGAAATACAATTGATTTTTGTATGTTGATCCTGTATCCTGCAACCTTGCTGAAATCTTTTTTGTTTGAAATCAGTGTCAATTATTTTTTTTCCAGGATTCCTTAAGATTTTCTATATACAAAATCATTTCATCTATGAACATAGTTTTATTTCTTTCCAGTCTGGGTGCCTTTCATTTCATTTTCTTGCCTAATTTCCCTGGCTAGACCCTCCTGTAAACATTGAATAGAAGTGGTGAGAATGAACATTTTTGTTTTGTTCCTGATCTTAGGGGAGACATCCAGCCTTTCACGGTTAAGTGTGATGTTAGCTATGGGTTTTTCGTAGATTTCTGTATCAGGCTGAGGATGCTGAGTATTATTATCAAACGCATGTGCTGGATTTTGTCAAATGGGTTTTCTCTCTCTATGGAGATGACCATGTGCTTTTTGTTATATTTACATTCATACGAGCTCTTCCATTGTTGATCTTGGAGTAAGTCTCATGCATTACAGGAATTAAAGATGAGTGGTCATGAGCATTTGGATAAATGGTAGAAGCCTTGAGAGTAGGTGAGGTTACCCAGAGAGAGCACACAGAGAAAAAGATGGCCAGAGATGGAACTCTGAGGAATATCAATATTCAGGCTGCTATGTGCAAGGCTAAGTTTTACTTCATTTCAATTAGTAGATTTAATTTAATGAAAACTTCATTTAAGTAATTATGTATTAAGTAGTTACGCTATTATCTTTAGCTGTTGACGTGGCTGAAGAATCTCTAGCAACATGGGAAGTTTTTCTGCCCTTTATTTGATTGTTTCTGTATAAAGTTAGAACCCTGCTCCAAATACAAAAATAAATATTTAAGATATAGGCAAAATAAGGGAATTAGCATGCTTTTTTGAAATGAATATGGACGTGGTGAGTAAATAGAACTTTAGACTTTGTGAGCCCTACTGGTTTTATAAATTGACCATTTTAACACAGATGCTGGACTTTACCTTTTTTCTACTAAAAGGAATATTTGTGTGGAAACAGAAAAAAAAATCAACTTGTGGAACGTTTACTTCGTACAGTTGGTGTTCTTTTGTAAGGACCGAAGCACGCACAGTAGTAAATAGCAGCAGATCCTCAGACTTTGTACTGAGAACCAGAACTAGACAGTACTTTCTCTTCTCATTTTTCGCTTTGTCTTCTGAATTACTGCTGCTCACGAAGTAATGTCTCTCTTGATGTCATTATCGCTTCTGGCAGTGACTGTTAGGAAACCCTGATTTTAAGACATTAAGAGCTGATAATGGTCACAGTAGCTTGTTGGCGAGACTACCTGTTAGATTCAGACAAAAAATTATTTATTTATGTCAGTTTTGTTGAGCATAATCGATACTTTAAAGTTGTATATATTTAACATGTACAGCTTGATGACTTGATATACATTGCGAAATATTCACCAAAATCAAGATAATTAACATGTCTTTTCTCACATGGCTACTATTTTCTTCTTTTTTTTTTTGATGTGACAACACTTAAGGTATACCTTTCTAACAAATTTTCAAATATATAATACAATATTGTTAACCAAAATCACTATTTAAGACATTTTGACTCTTATCAGTATCCTAACAATGTCAGCAGTTAAGATTCAAGCATATAGCAATGTATATTATGTATTCTAAACTTAAATTAGTTGATAGTCTCTGATAGTCTTGGAGACTATTACAAAAGGTTATTGAAGTTCTCCAATTTAATCATAGATCATTCATTGGTTGAACTATATAAGAAGTCTTATTATATTGACCAACTCATCAAGTGATATGATTGGTAAAAGTTAATTTGTGAGATGTTTGTTTCCTGAAGTTTTGTTTCTTTCTTGAACTATATTATTAGAATTAATCCAGAATCATATGAATAACTGAGAATAATAGATTATTTAATTTAAGGCACAGAGTTGAATATTGATTAATAGCTAACTGTGAATTAATACTACAATTAATAGAAAGTGGGATGCCCCACCATGATGCCCTCAACTTGTAAACTGTCTTAAGGCAGGAGCTGTCACATCTCTTTGAGGGTCAGAAACCAAATGAGGGTTCTTAAAAGACAAATCAATACAACTGTGTAATGAAGAGTCATATTTATACACTACAATGAACATTTCTTCTGTTAAACCTTAAACATACATATTTTAAATAGTATATTCACAGCAAAAAGATTGCTGACCTAGCCATTTCTAAAACATGTTTCCATTAAGTCCTAATCTATAGTCCTTAAACATTTGGAGAACTAATTCATTTCTTTGCCAGCATTAAATAGATAAAAATGAGACTATACTCAATAGGGAAAAAGTAAAGAAAAGATGACAGGTATGAAGGTTGGAATTAGATACTTCATGTATTATAAACTGCATACAATCATTAAATACTCTTTAAATTTGAAAATTTAGTAGTTGATGAGTTTTAAGGTTGTGCGAGTCTATGAACAGTGATATGTATTCAAATATATAGTTCATAAAATGGAACTAGTTATTTGTCTTGTTAGATACTGTGGCAAACAAAATACATAGCCCTTCTCATCTCAAGTATACATTATGATGTGTAATAGCTGGAAAACATTTTACCATATAAAGTTTATGCATTTCTTGAACATTCTTCTTGATGTAAGAAAAACTAACCAATTTTAGAAAGGCTTAACCCATGTTCTCTAAATATATATACATATATGGCCTTTCAAATGTGAAAAATTGTTGGACTTTTGTTTTATGACTGCAGGCAGCATATGTACCTCATTTCTTACCCAAAGCTACCAACTGCCAGTTCTCGATACAATGTTTGTAAGAAAGAAATACCGAGGCAAAGATTTTGGGCTTCACATGCTGGAGGACTTTGTTGATTCCTTTACAGAAGACGCACTTGGCTTGCGGTATCCACTGACCTCTCTGATGTACACAGGTAATTGGAATAAGTTTTAAAAAGTTATACTTGTCTCAGTGTCACTTCTGACCTGTTTTTGCAGAATATTGTAAATATGCATGTATCAGTATTAAGTAAATTATATGCTTTGGCTGTCTAGGGCTTAATTTTGCGAATGTGCCCTTATCTCACACAAATGGTATTTTGGGGGTGTGGTAGCTTTTTTAAAAATTGAAATATAATCCACAGTGTACAGTTTAGTGGTTTTTACTGTATTTACAGCTATGTAACCATAACCACTATCTAATTGCAGATTCACCCCAAAAAGAAACCCTGACCCAGCTAGCAGTCCTTCTGTATTCCCCCATTCCTCGTTCCTCTAGCAACCACTAACCTCTTTTCTGTCTCTATGGATTTACCTATTTTAGACATTTCATATAAATGGAATTGTATGATTCAGTTACACTGTAAGCTCTTTGTGTCTAGCTTCTTTCACTTTGTGTACATGTTATCAGGGTTCATCCATGTTGTAGCATGAATCAGTGCTTCATATTTTTTTTATGGCTGAGGAATATTCTGTAGTGTGGATATGCCACATTTTGTTTATCTATCATCAGTTGATGGACTTTTGGGTTGTTTCCACTTTTTAGGTATTATAAATAATGCTGTGTTAAACATTTGTGCAGTTTTTGTCTGGACATTACTCTGCTGTATATACTTAGGTGTGAATGGAATTGCTTGGTTATATGGTGACTCTGTGTTCAGCCTTTTGAGAAACTGCCAAACTGTGTCCCAAAGCACCTGCACCATTTTACATTCCCATTAACAGTGTATGAGGGTTGCAGTTTCTCCATATCCTCACCATTTGTTGTCTGTCTTTTTGATTATAGCCATCTCAGTGGTTATGGAGTGACATCTCATTATAGTTTTGATTTGTGTTTGGTGTTGAGCATCTTTTCATGTGCATTTTGGTCTTTTATGTATCTTCTTTGGAGAAGTGTCTGTTGAAGTCCTTTGACCATTCTTTGGGTTATTTGTGGTAGATTTTTAAATTAAAAAGAGAAATTCCATATATATACAAAAATTACATAAAGAAAAAGGTAACAGATAATCGTGTACCATCCAGCATGTACCATTGTGAGAAGTGGATCATTGTCAATACAGCTGTACTCCTGTCATATCCAGTTAGTTCACTCCCTTGGTCGAAATGAGCACCATCCTCAATTTGGCATTTATTTTCCCCATGTATGTACGTATCCTCCAACAATGCATTGTTGTTTTACATATTTTAAAACTTTATATAAATAATATGTACTGTATGAATTCTTTTGCAGTTTGCTTTTTCTACTAATCTTTATAATTATGAGATTCACTCTTGTGGATTCACATAGCTCTGTCTTCTCTTTTTCAATGCTGTTTATCTTTCCATTGTGTGGATATATTGTGTTGTGATGTTTTAAAAACTATTGGTGGATTTATATTTGCATTGGCATAAAGCCCATACCACTACTTTTTTCTTAATGAATAAGATTTAATCCTGAAAAGTAAATTATTTGAAAACTTTTATAAAATATACTTTACCATTGATTTTAATCTAATATCAGATATTTATTTTCACTGAAAAAACATTTTTGTTTTTTGTTTCCTCCTCCTTTTTAATATGAAAAATCCCCAAAACAAGAACCAAGGGTTGCATGCCCATCTTGAATCATGGTTTCTCTCTAAATCCATACATGAGAATGGAATGAACCCTGTATAACCTTGGATAATCTGCAAATGGATTTTGCTCTTAAAGTCTAATTAGTGCTTCACTGAATCTGGGGAGGAATGCAACCACATCTACTGCAGGCGGAACCTCTTATTACTTGCCCTTTCCTAGGATTCTAATGATAAATAAGTTGAATACCAAATGAAAACGGGTGCTTATGTATTATGTAAGGTATTTTATTTCAGTTATTTTAATTTAGGCAAAGGACTCACTGTGGCTTGTCATCCCCCACCCCCAGCTTTTCCCTTCCTGTTATGTATGAAAACTACAACCAGAAAACATGAGAAATATTGTCAAACATATGGGAAAAAAGTGAGAGAGTGGTATCCTAGTGTCCATGTATCCATTGTCCAGATTAACAGCTGTTAAGATTTTGCCATGTTTGTTTTCATTTATTTTTAGGTAAACCTAAACAGAACGTTGAAGATACAGTTGATGTTCTCTCTGGATCCCTCCCCAGCCCCGTTCCTCTTTCTCCTTTCCTCCCGGAGATAATTGTGTTCCTGAAGTCGGCGGATATCCTTCCTGCCCATGGTTTCATACTTACGTTTTTGTCCATAAACACTGTAGAGCATTATTTATTGTGCTTTTTTAATTTTAAAATTTAAAGTTTTTGGTGATAAAATTCATATAACATAATATTTACCACTTTATTTATAGGGGTAAATAGTTCGATGGCAGGAATCACTTTCCCAGTGCCGTGTACTCATCAGCACTATCTGAACCCAGGACTTTTTCATCGTCCCCAATCTAAACCCTGTACCCTTCAAACAGTAACTCCCCTTCCTCTTTCCCCTGCATTCGCTAACTTCTTTTCTGCTCTCTGTCATGAGTTTGCCTGGTCTCAGTACCTCACAAACAGGAATTCATACACTATTTGTCCTTTCTGTGTCTTATTTCCATAGCATAATGTTTATGGTCCATCCATGTTGTAGCATATATCAAAATTTCATTCCTTTTTATGTCTGAGTAGATTTTATTGTGTGACTGTATCACATTTCATTTATCCATTTATCCATTGGTGGACGCCTGGGTTGTTTCTCCCTTCCTGTGTTTCTGTGAATAATGCTGCTATGGACATTGGTGTGCAGGTATCTGTTTGAGTCCCTCCTCTCATTCTTTTGGATATAAACCGAAGAGTGGAATTGTTGGCTTAGAATTCTGTGTTTCACTTTTTGAGGAATTGCTAAACTGTTTTCCCTGGAGGCTGTATCATTGTGTTTAATGTGTTTAAACTTATAAAATGACATCGTTTTGCTTTTTTATTGACTTGTTTTTTTAGATTTATCAGTGTTGATTATACACAGCTGTAGTTTATTTGTTGAAGTTGCTGTATAGTATTTCATTGTATACATATTATAGTTTATTCCTATATCCCCTAATGATGATGAGCACTTAGGTTGTACGCTGACCCCAGTTTGAAAACTGTTCTGTAATGAACATTTTATTCATTATACGATGTCTTCTGCATATGTGTAAATCATTAGGGTATCCCTAGAAGTAGAATTGGATCATAAAATGTTTGTCTTCAACTTTACTAACCACTTCACAGGTGTTCTCACACTAGCCGTGTGGGAGTTTCCATTTCCCGTATTCTTCTGATGATTGTTACTATCTGATGGGTGTGAAAATGGTATCTTGCTGTTTCATCTTGGCAGCTAGTGAGTTTTATCATCTAGTGACCATTCAGGTTTCATTATGGGTGAATTTCCTGTTCATAACTGCCAATTTTTCTTTGGGGTTATTTTGTCTTTCTAATTCAATTTTAGTAATTTTTCATATGCCCAGAATACTAATCTTTTGTTTTATTCTGTTTATCTCCTAATCTGTGTCTTCATTTATTTTTTTAATCTCTAGTAACTTTATTTAAATAAATGACTAATTGGTCGCTCAATAGATCACATATGGCTTCTCTGCCCTGATCCTGCTTTCTGTTTTCAAACTTGTCACCTGCAAATGTTACAAGTTAAAAAGACAGATCATCTAAAATGAATTAAATAAAACTAGTTACATTTACAAATGGCCTCGACTTATAAGATGTCTGTATTCAAATGAACAGGACAGCATTTTTAAAGTGCAATATGCACTCTTCTGGCTCACCATAAAAAATTATGTAACTGGAAATTCAGTCATTTCTCTGAGAGCAAATTTAGTGAAAAGCTGTTTTGAAAGTTAGCCACTTGACACAGCATTGTAAAATGACTATAACTCAATAAAAAAAGTTAAAAAATAGTTAGCCATGAAATTATAAATTATGAGAAACCCTGAAAAGTCATTGAAAATTAGTAGATAAGATGCAGTTAGAAATAAACCAGTGGAGAGGCAGCATAAAGTAAATAAAGTAAATAAATACTATACAATAGCATAAAAAGTTTTGCTTATAAAAAATTGAAAATTGCATTTTAAAATATCAATTTTCCCTTCTTTTGAGGGTTTTACAATTAAAATTTAGAACTGGAGTCTCTGTAAAGATTTTCCAAATGTTATTAATTACTGGCCTTGTTTTTTGCCCAAACCTCTCTGATCTGTCGGTTGAGTTCACTCATCATTCGATCCTCGTGATTACACACACCCATCCTTTTCCAGAGAAGAGGCATCCTTTCTTCTAGGAGGCGAGTCAGATAATCATGCAAACCTTCTTCCCGTGTCCTGCCACGTGGGCCGTCCATTTTTCCAGCTGCAGTCTCTCTGGAATCCTGGTACTGCTTTTGTTCTTGTTGCCTTAGCCTGTTCAGTTCATTTCTTATATCCAATAATTTTTGTCTTTCAGTTTTTACTGTGTCTTTTTCCTCAGCAGCCAGGTAATGCAGCCTTATCTGTTCCAATTCTTCTTGCTGTTTTTTAAGACGAGCCATTTGACTTTCCTGCCCTCTGCTGCTTAAGTCTGGCAAGTTCTTCCAAAGCTCGTCCCCACTGCTGCTTGTAATGTAGTTTAGACTTAGTTGCAGGTTCCAACTTTGTTTCAAGTTCAGCCTTTTCCACTGTGAGATTTATTTCAGACTGTAATTGAATTTCTGGTTTGTTGCTTTGCTGATCCTTGAACTGATGGAACTCTCTTTCTAAAATCTTATACATGTTTTTGGCATCATTAAGCTGCTGCTGAAGTCGATGTTTATCCCCTTCTAGCTGCTTGATCTTTAACCTTTCTAGTTCAACTTGGGGGACACAATCTTCTTTGGCCCTGCGGATACAGTCCTGGGTATGGTGCCTTTTAAATATAAACCATGTAGTCCAAATAAAGCAGCTACTGATATAAATTAAGTTTAGGTTAATTAAAATTAAATCAGATTGTAAGTTCAAGTCATTAGCAGCCCCATGCGGCTCTGGTAGCTACTGGATTGGACAGTGCTGCTGTAGGTCATGTCCATCTTCACAGAAAGTCCTGTATAGAAAGTTTTAAACTTTAATAATCATGTTTCTCATACTATTTTATCACGGATTGTGATTTTTGTATCTTTTATAAGAAATCCTTTAGTACCCAGATATCCTAGAGGTATTCTCTTATGTTTTCTTTAAACATTTTGCTTTTTATAATGGGTATTAGAATTCATCTAGAACTTATTTTTATGAATGATATTGATATGAGGTCAAGATCTGACTTCTTTTATTCTAACATCATTATTTAATAGTTTTATTCATTCTCCTCTGAAATGTGATTCCTCCTCTGTCATTTGCCAATTTCTAGTTTATATGTGGTTCTTTCTTGGTGTTTTTTTTCCCCCCTTGGTATTTAATTTTCTTCCTCCTCTTCCTCCTCTTCCACATTATGTCAATACCAGGTTGTTTTTAATTACTGTGCCTTTAAGATGATTCTTGTTAATCTGCTAGAATAAGTCCTCCTTGGTTTTTTTCCCTCAAATTGGCCCGAATATTATTTCATAGCCCTTTGTTCTTTCATTTTGAATTTGGGATCAGGTTTTGTCCAGTTCCATTAAAGAAAAATCTCTGTTGGGATTTTGTTTAGAATTGCATGGAATTTACAGAATAATTTGGTGAGCATTGGTGTTTTCACACTATTGAGTCTAACAGTCCTTTTATTCAGTTCTTCTTTTATGTCCTTCAGTAACATTTAGTAATTTTCTCTTTAAAGGGGAAGTATATCTTTTATGAGGACTTGAATTCCTTGGTTACTTAAAACTTTAATATGGAATCTTATTTAGGATTTTGATTCATAAATGAGACTGCTTTCTTATTTTTGGTTGCTTGGTGATTTTGCTATCGGGGTTATGCTAGCCCCATTGAGTGAGTTGGGCAGTTTACTTTCCATCTTCTGTTTTCCCAAACAATTGATTTTTGGGATTTCTAGGAAATTCTCAATGTGTTTTTCAGCTTGCAAGCAGTATTTTGAAAAGTATCCTGGGGACCATGAGCTCCTTTGGGAGGTTGAAGGTGTTGGACATTGGTACCAGCGAATACCAGTCACCAGAGCATTACAAAGAGAAGCGCTTAAAATTACGGGTAAGAATGTTTCCATTTTGAACACAAGTCCAGCTTAAAAAGCAGCGCCTAATGAAGAATGTGACAATGAATATATGTATGTTCATGTATAACTGAAAAATTGTGCTCTACACTGGGAATTGACACAACATTGTAAACTGACTATACCTCAATTAAAAAAAAAAGCAGTGCCTAATGGTTGCACCTTACAGTCCATAGTATTGGTATATTGTTATGTGATCTCTTTAGTAACAGAGCTTCTTTTCTAAAGTTTGAATTTTTGTTCTTTGTAAACATTTGAGTCACTAGTATAAGAGGATCTAGAATAGCCCAGTGGAATGTAACAGTCCAGTAGGAACTGATGGGTGATAAATTAACACAGATTACTCAAACAGGGAGAACAGGCATCAGAGGGGCAAGGCTGGTACCGGGGTCTCATCCATCTCTCCTCGAAGCCACTAAGTACAGATAACTATTAAAGATTCTACATCTGCAAAGTCTCATTATAAGATGTTGGTGAAGGGGATATCCCACACCAGATTTTCAACACCCTTTTGTTCAGGCTGCTTTTCAGGGCTTTTGTGAAAATCAGTACAAACGATGTTACAATTAAAACCAAATATTAATTGGGTTACAAATTTTTTAAATTCTTCTACATACAGCTGTTTCTCAAAATGAAGCTAAAAGACCTATGTCTGGAGAATACGGTCTTGCATCTGTTCCAGAATTTGAAGCCGGAACTGAAGATAATCAGTCTAGTGAGATGCAGCTAACTGTAGGTACACTGTGTGTTTATGTAGGGAATAATTAGTTTGCTGTTTTTTAAAAATAGGGCCAGCTAATATTTAGCTTTTAATGTTACTGTTCATTCAACAATCTTATGTAATTTCTACTGTGTTAGTTACCTTGTTATTTTCTGTTAGCTGGTCATTGAGGATTTAATTTGAAAAATAATTTGGAATACACAAAATAATATAGAAGAAAATAAAAATCTATAATCCCATTATCCTAGATATAGCAACTAAAATTTTTATATATGTACTGAATATATAATAAAACATGTATCTGCATATGTTTTATTTTTGTTCTTATTCTTTTATGCTACTTCTAACTGCTCTTCTCCATTAACATACTATTGTAAGCATTTTCTGTGGCATTACTGTTTAAAAACATTGTTAAATAGCAGCACACTGTTCTAGTCTGTGTAGGTAACTATCATTTATCTCCTTAACATATTACACTTAAGTTTTTTATATTTATAAATGGCCCAGCCATGAACACATTTATTCACCTTTGTGCAAAGTAATTATTTCCTTACACAGATAAATTTCTAGAAGTAATTAGTAGTAGGTCAAAGGGTATGAAGTTATTTGAGAAGTTTGAGGCTACATATGCTAGGTCTCTGTAGAATGTCATGCACTTTGCAAATAGTAGGTGACCCAGAAGTAGAAGGACAGGTCCCATTACTGAATTCCAGAGGACTCACCAGGTGCATTTCTAGAACCTACTTAATTGTTATTACTTAAAATACAAGTCCATTGGTAGGATTCTGGAAGTCTGTTTTTATGCAGTGTTTTGTTGTGATGGCATTTATTACAGTCATATTTGTTTTGTACACAAGTACCGGAGTATATCTTTAGTGAGTGTTGAATATGTC